AATAAGGTCATATATGTGTCGAAGATTAGACGTATTACAAGAGAGTAACAAACACAAAAAAGGAGGAGATATCATAACGATAGATGTTTGGTTGGAAAGAAGGAACAAACTACACCAGAGCACCTGCCAACCACCCAAGGGGGATGGTTTCATCTGAGATGTGTGACCACAACAACAATATCAGCCGGAACACCTACATCAGGTCCAACAACAAGAGGAACGACAGCAGAAAGAACAACAACAACACTAATAACACCGTCAAAAACAACAATAATAGCAACTGCAACGCGGAAACAAGGGTAACAACCACGACAACAACAACAACAGTAATAATAACGGTAACACCGACGGCAGAAACAAACGGTAACAGCAAACAAATACAGCACAAACAGCAGCAGCAACAATAGCATCTACATCAAAAGTGACAACAACAACAATGACAGTGACACAAGCAGAAGTTTTTTGATAAGCTGTAATTTACAGCGAGTCGCACCGTAGGGTCCACAGACTTTCTGCATTTTCAATAATAATATCAACAGCAGCCTCAGGACCGGAAGCACCGACATCACCAGAAACAGGGCAGGACATATCTGCTGCCCGCTTCGTCCTAACTTTTAAGACTTAAGCAAAACAAGCGACTCACCGATCTTTGAGGAAGAGGGTGACGAGGTGGAGGAAGCTTGTCCATTGACGGGTTGTGCTGGACATTCTTCGGACTTTTGCCCTGAAATTAAATAGAGTAAATTGTTTAATGTTTTACGGCGACATCGACACAATCTAGATAACTTAGAAGGCAGGCTGCTTTTACTATATCATAATAGAAGTCCTTGAAGCTTCTTGTTTTAGTAAGTGTTTTACGACACTTGCAACACAATAAGTTCATATACGTGCCGAAGATAAGAGGTGTTACAAGAGAGTAACAAACACAAAAAAGGAGGGGAGATAAAGACGATAGATGTTTGATAGGAAAGAAGAAGCAAACCACACCAGAGCACCCGCTAACTACCCACGTTGAAGCTTCTAAAGAGGGACACTGGGACTATTTCATTAAAAAAAGTAGGTTTTTTAAAAACTCCACCATTGACTCATTCTAAATCATTTAGAAGAGGAGCTGCTTCGACTCTAAAGATCAGGGCCAACCCAGACTGGGTAGGAGACTACATTACAGCAGACAGACAGAAATAAAGGATTAAAAGAAAACAAGACGACAAAAAACAAACCAAAAAAAACAACCCCCCAACAAACCAACAACAACAAAACCAAACAAAACACACACACACAAAACAACAACCCAACAACAACAATACCCATCCCCACTCAGGAATTGAAGTTACGTTTGTTTTCTATGTGCAACAGTAAGAGAACTTAACTACTACACCACAGACGCTAATGACTTGCGCATTGACGGTCTAACAGGTGGGCATTATATATATAGTATACGGGTGGGGGTGGAGGTGGAGAGTTTCATCATTATCATCCAGTGCCTGATCTGCGACAGACACTGGCGATCATGGTTTTCCATTAATTCCTTTGCTCGGATGCTCTCAAAAAAGCTACGTTTCCCTGATCTTTCCCTGTTACCCATTTGTTTAGGTTCCCTAAGTATGTTGTTCTGGGCCTACCCCTGCCTCGCTTGCCCTCAATTTTGCCAGTGAGAGTTTAGCACCCCTATAAATACTATAAACATACCCAGGTTGTTCAAAAGGTGGGGACCTCTAAATTGAGTGTCCATCGCCAAAGTCAAAGGGACTGAGCCTTATGGACAGAGAGCCTTGAAGACTCACTACAAAGAGTATGTTCAAAGTTACATGTTTATGGATTTGAACCAGGATCATCCGCTCTTTCGTCTAAATGATACTCTAATAGAAAATAATCAATCAGAAAAGTATCTGGCCGTAGACCTATTTATTCGAGATAAAATTTTTTTTTTTTTAAAGTTTCAGTTTGAGTTTTTACCACACCTGAAACATAAATAGGTCATATAAGTGCCGAAGATTAGAGGTGCTATAGGAGAATAACATACAACAAAAAAAAGAATGGGGAGAGAGTTATGGGCGACAGATGTTGGATAGTAAAGAAGGAGCAAACTACATCAGAGCACCTGCCAGCCACCCACAGACAACAGACAAATATTCTAATGAAGGTAAAGTATGTCTTTTGGGTGGTAGGTGGGTGCTCTTTTGTGGTTTTCCCCTTTCTTTCTTCTCAAACGTATGTTGTCCTTATCTCTCACTCTTCTTCTCTTTGTATGTTACTCTCTAGTAGCACCTAATCATCGGCACTTACGTGACCTACTTGTCTTGCAAATGCCTTAGAACTCTTACTATGGCCTCGTGGTTAGGCTACAGGACCGATAATCATGAGTTTGCGGGTTTGGGGGTTCGAGCCTGAGCTCAGTCTGTCGTTGTGTCCCTGGGAAAGTCACTTTACATGGATTTCTCGCTTGGCTCGGTCCTTTCGGAGAAGAACGCTAAACTCGGAAGTCCCGCCTCTTACATAACATCATAGTGTTAATAGGGGTGTTAAATCATTTTTTCACTCTTACCAAAACTAAAAAGTACATCCCAAAGTAATAATAATAATATTAATAGATAGCATTTATCTAGCGCACACCCCCGCTCAACAGCAAGCTCTGTGCGCTTCACAATCTACACTATAACCCCCAGCAGGCCTGAGAGCATTCTGAAACAAACTCAACTTCCTGGGAAGCATACAGTGCAAGCTGCCATTTATGGGCGCTAAAACACTACACACTGACAAGACCTTTCGCTGCCTATTCCCGGGTACCCATTCCCACTTGAGTGAAGTGAGGAAAAATTGTGGAAAGTGCCTTTCCTAAGGACATAACGTCGGGCCGCGGCTCGACCCCCTAACCCGCAACCTCACGAGTACGAGTCTGGTAGCCTAACCACCAGGCCACCGACGCCACTCTCTTGTTTTCCCGCATCACAACGACCACAGCCAGCTGTTCCCTGTACTTATGGGTATGTACAGGTATTTTATTCAGCGTTTGAGGCCATTGACCCACGTCACATAAAGCATAATACACATTATACAGAAGAGACTTCCGTGAAAGAGCATAAATTATAATTGACACACATATCAATGCTACTTTCAAAACATGTAGTGTTATACATTTCCATGATGAATTAAAATTCTGGTTGTGCAGATTACTGTTTACGTGGGTTGTTGACATTGTAGATTTTTATCACTGGGTCGAGTTAGGCAGGAAGGAATTAATAAATTCTTTTGATATGCGAAGCTTGAACAATACACAATAAAAGGCAATTTGTCTTCAATTTCATAGGCTTAACACCTTCCACGCGTGGGTAACTTAATGATTTCCATCTAAAAAGATTATTACTCAATGGCAGGCAGTGGTTTTTTTTATACAAGGCTTTTAACTCTTCGGTTCCAGTAACGTCCAGGTCCTGTAAGACACCGCTGAAAACTCATTGTAACCTCTACGGTGACCCCCTGATGTTGCGCAATGGCTCAAGCCATTTCGAATGGTGTGTGCGTGTGTGTGTGTGTGTGTGGGGGGGGGGGGGGCTTTACTTTACTTCATCACGCATCTCTTACCTGTAGCCATCCTGAGACTAGGTCGGTATCGCTGATGGTATAGGCCAGAGACGAGTTTGTGAAGGCAATAGATACTTCACTCTCACTGTAGTCCTGGGAAGGATCAAGACAAATAAACCAACAAGTTAAGAAAAAAAGCCAACAGAAGAGTCTTGAGCTTCCATATTATATTTCTTTATATAGTTTTAGCTTCTAGATAGAGAGAAGGAAATGCATATATTAAGAGGAAATAAATCATATTTCATTGATCCCTTTGAGGAAACTCTTAGAACAATGGCTATCGTATGATTAAATACACAAATACACATGCAAATAATATCATATACACGGTTCTACACCAATGCAGAACAATTATACAAGCATGCCGTTGCTGGTCGTTACTCATTATTTGTTTTTTTAGCTAGTTATCGTGAGACATACCTCAGTGACCACCTATCTAAACCCAATGTCATCGACACTTGCTTGACATTATTTTTTTAGTCTGAACTCATTACTGGAGCCCCCGCCACGATAAAGGGCGACCAACAATGAAAGAGAGCCTTACATTTCAAAAGACCCCTTGAGCAGAAGGAAGATCATCGTCACAGTAACGGCTGTTTGTGTTGGGAAAGACCAAGATAGAAAGAAAGACAGCGAGAATGAAAGATGAAGGCGCTACTAGTGGCACCCTTCAATCACCCACGAAAAGTGCAGACAAACAAACAATAAGAAAAAAAACCCTCAACGAACCGGAGCCTTGAATTCCTATACACCTCTAAGTGCTGATTAAGTTTGAGTTAACAGGGATACCTAGACATGATAATGGAAAAAGGCAAGACATTGATATGGATGGCTTTCGAGGCTGGCTGGTTGGGTGACATTCGTAACAGGTGGCCAAACCATTTTATTCTCTGGGGTTTTTTCTTTCTTCTATGAAATGCAGGCAGGACTCAGTGCTAATAGCTGCTCTTACTTCTTCATTTCTCTGTCTGTCTCGTAAAGGGTTTTGCGGAGACACTTCATCTCACATGCAGTGATTTTGCTTGCCTTAAAAACTCACAAAAATAACCGAAGTTCAAAACAACACCCCAATCGGAAATCGAACTACAGCCATCCACTCCGTAGTTCAGCATGGTGCCACCTGAGCTAACGGTACTGACTGTATATAACAACCATTACAACAGTCAAATACACTGAAACAAAAGCAACAACCCAACGTGCAGTCAAATAATACACAGACATCTTTAGGAAATGAATACAGTCGAACCTGTTCAGACCGCCACCAGTCCAAGAAAATCATCTGGACAACAAACAACCATTTCCCACTCCCCCTTGGAGTTTTCCCCTTTAAAATTGTGTCCAGTCTTGGTAGAATTAGACGCTCGTCAAAATAATGAAATTGAAGAAACCGGCTTTTTCTGGCCGTTTGGCAACTTTTTTTCTAATCTTCTTTTTCTGGCTCAACACCTTTCTCTGCTATTTAAAAACACGTTTCTGTGTGGATTTTGCTGAAAGATAAAAGGAACAAAAAGTGTAAATTTTCATTTTCCAAGGACTCTCAAGCTATGGAGGTTACCAAATTTGGCGACCATTTGCTCATTAATTTCACCACTGAAACCAGGCAACCCTCCCCTCCTTCAGTCGCAAATATCTCGACTTCTATTCAACATAGATGGATATTTTTTCCACAAAAAGCAAGGAAAATTAACCAATCGTAAGATGCTACCAATAGACCCCATTTGTCAAAAAATTGACGAGTGCCTGATTCCATGATTCCACCATGTCGAGCCACTTATTATGACACAGTTCAAGAGGACCACCTGTCTAAGATGAACGCTAGCCCCCTCAAAAAATGAATGGTTGTCTTGGACAGTTTGGACTAGACCTACACAGAAACGACAACAGCAATCCAAAAAGAAATAATACACATATTGAGGAAATATTTACCCCCATATTCTGTCTTGTCAGCGTCCACGTATTCTACTACTGATGTATCCTTCCGAGAGACAATCCAATAGGCGGGGAGAGAGAAGTAGGGGCTTCACTTGGGCGGGGCATGTAGAGTGATATAAAATCTGTCAATGCACACAATTGGTGACCTCTCATGTCTTGACCCTGATCTTTGTACCTGTTGGGGGGTATGGAAATAAATGATGAAACTTCGGGTTTACATTTGATTTAAGAGAAACATATCCACAAAGTGTCGATGGGGACATTAATCGTTTTCAACAACCATTACGTAAATTATGCTTCCACCTAAGTAACGATAATTTAGCCAGAGATCAATAAAGGTTCAATCATACATTCAAATCTTAAGCGCAGGTAGAGTGGGAGACAGCACACGAAGATATTTGAATTTGATGACTTTCTCCCTCCGGAATTTAACTTACGTCCTCTGCGTGAAACGATCGACAAAGAGCGTAACCATTAAACCGCAAACGCCGGTGTAGACCACTGGCTTAATTATCAAGTGGAATAAGGAGAAATTTCAGATATTTTATTAGTGGAGTATAGATAGAAGACATGAATTCTTTGCCCATATGAGGAAAACCTTCAACAAGCATGTATCTCGATCTATCTTCTGGAATGTTGTATCCCTATCATCCCGGATTGGCCCTGCCGAGCAGGGTCGAAACCCCCCTCGCAAATGGTTTAAACGTGTAGATTGGGAAAAGGGGAAAGGGGGTGGGGGGGGGGGGGGGGGGTTAAAACAATTACATTAAAAACAAAAAAACCAAATTAAAATGTTAAAACAAGATATTTTAACCTGCTTACAGCTTACCCAGACGCTTTCTCGAGAACTTTCTCCAAAATGGCATAACGGATACAATCAGTCAACGTCACTGCTACAAGCTCCCTCCACAATAATGTGACTCGTCCGTTTAAATATATGTAAATTTTAATAGCCTCCCAGGCCTTAGTTTTATGATATTTTATGAGGCATCGTAAAAGCGGCATAATGTAATTTTGTCTCACTTGTGTTCTTATCTCCCCTCTTGTTCGTTGTCAGTTTGTTCGCCTGCCTGTCTGCCAGTCTGTCTGTCTGTCAGTTTGTTCGCTTGCCTGCATGCCTGCCAGTCTGTCTGTCTTTCTGTGTGCGTCTGTTTCCTCTTATGTATGCATGTATCCGTCAAGATTGTTTTAACTGTTTTGTGGTCCAGCTTTTTGAATGATTTGAAAGGAAGTAATTGTGTCACGACATGGTGGAATCAGGCGCTTGCCAATTTTGGGGCATGTAGAGTTATTGGTATCATCATAAAGTTAGTTCATTTGTCTTGCTTTGGATGAAAAAACTATCCGTTTATTTTGAATAGAAGTCAAGATATTTGCGAATGAAGGAGGTGGGAGGGGGGGGGCACCTAGTTCCAGGCCGCCAAAGATTAGACATATCCTTAGTTTGAGAATCTGTGAAAACCGAAAATTTACGTAATGTATACCTTTAATCAACGTTTTTCCGTAAAATCCACACAAATGTGTTCTTCAATGGGCATGAAAGGTGTGGGAAAACGCCAGTTTCTTCACTTTGATTATTTTGGCGAGGGCCTGATTTCACCACGCTACCTCACAATTTAAAAAAAATGTAGGTGTTTTTACGCCCCCATCAACACAATTTAGATCATTAAAATTTAGGAGGCAGGCTTCGACCCTGTCAGTCCCGACAACCAGGGCTAAATGGAATACACGCCCCAGAAGAAAAAAGAGATACTGGATTAAAATTGCTTTCACACTGGAATTGAGCTCAGGTCTTCTGCAACCAACGGCGAAACGCCTTACCACTGCACCCACATACACCTTGGTGGTTGTAAAATTTGCGAATAATATTGTAACCTTACCATCACAGAAACCTTTCCCCATCAAGGCGGTGCGTTATATATAGATGTTTTAAGGCAACACCATTACAATTCAGAGCAGTTAGGAGGAGGGCAGCTTCGACCCAGCCTGTCAAGCCGAGGCCTTGGCTGAGTGGGAGTTGACATCCCAGCAGACACGTGAGGATACTATATTATTATCATAATAAATTGCTTCCCTTTTCGAGAATCAAACCCACGTCTTCTGCGTGAAAAGGCGAAGAGCGTATCCATTACACCACAGACGACCGTAGTCCGAACCCCAAAACAGACCAAAAACGATAGAGTAAAGAAATGGGGACCTGAAAGCGTCTACCTCCACCTGCACAAACAGATGATCAACTGCGACTGACGACTGACGTGCTCACATACGAGATGTACCTGTTTTCCAAGCGCTATATTTCGCCAATAAATTATGAAGAACCTGCTCTAACGTTCACATGTAAAGACAACTACCTGACAAAACGACCACTTCCCATCTCCCATGCCGTTTTTTCTACATTAAAATGACACTGTCCGAGAGAACCACCGGTCTAAGATGATTACTTTCCTCCTTGATAGTG